ACGTAGTTTCAATATGTCTCACTTTGCTGTTGGGTAATGAGCAAATCTAGAATTTCTTTAGAATTGTTAGTGATTATAATCACTGGATGGGAAGCTGAGTTTCAACACTGCACTGAAAAAAGTGTGACCACACTTTTACATTAGCTAGACTCCTGCCATCACCCTAGGCCTTACACCTGAAGGTCTATGATCCCAGTCGATGATTCCAGTTCCTTTCTTTCTCACTTCACTATATGGTAAAACGTAATGTAGAAATGTACTTCAGTCATTAATGCAATAATAGTAATATATTAAATGTTGCAATTCATCATCATTAAAATGTGACTTTTATCTGGGTACAGTTAGGTTTTAATGAAAATAAATGGCATAAATTTGCATTAACACTGGTCTCTGTGTCTGCAGCAAAGCAGCCGCTGTTAGCAGCTCAGACACAGCTCCACTGAGAGCTGACCTCCGGGACACACAGCTAACTATAAAATGGTGTACACTAAGCTTGCATGCTAATGTGCTATTTGAGGCTCATTTTTTGTCAACACAGCCTGGCATAGACCCTGAGATTAAGGCCAAAGCTGAAAATAGATGCTGCTGTGATCAAGAATAGACTGCAAGGCTAAGGTGCTGCAGGCACATGGATATTAAGGTGGACTGAGATGAGCTATGTCACCTGCTCCAGTGGTAGTCCACCTTAAGACCTGGTTAATCTGGTTCAAGTTTTTCCAGAGAGTCAGAGTCAGTCAGTCAGTTAATCAGGCAAACAGTGAACAATGAAAAAAATAATTGATTTGAGTACAAGTAACTTGGGTTAAATAAGTTAATTTGACCAATTCCATTCAGTTAATTGAACTTTAATAAGTTTATTTTAGTATATCACTGTCATATGCAGCGTTCCTCCAAACTTATTTAACTTATTTAATTATTATTTTATTTTATTTAATGCATCTGAATGAAGAAAGAATAAATTAAATGCATCTTCTTTATACAAATGTTACCACTTAAGTTGAATTTACTCAGTTCATTTAGTTCCACTTAAGCAAATTATTACATTACCTGTCAAAACAGCAGATGTAAGGTAAAAACAATTAATCGATTATCAGAATGGTAGCCAATTCATTTTCTGTGAAACAACTAATTGTAACTGCAGTAATGAAGTTGTCAACTACAGCCTACTTTATGTGACTAACATCAAATCATTGTACAATTATTTTGATGCAGGAATAATAATTACTAAATTTGACAAAGTCAACTCAATGTAATGAACCGGAATTATATCACCAATACTTAAATACTTCACAAAGTTATTACTTTAACAAATCATTTTTGAGTTAGGGTTAGGGTTAGAGTGACTCCATATTTTTTGGAGGATTAAGTTATGTTTATTTTATTTATTAACTACTTTTATTAAGTTATGCTGTTAGGTGTTACAGTGTAATAAGGGTAGAAATACTAAACTAATGTGTGACTCTTGAATCATGATGGTTTAATGCATGAATTAATGTTTATGTTGCTCAACACTAACAACTGATCAAGTCATTATGAATTTTTGTGATTAGTTCACACTTAATAAATCATCAGTTAAGAAGTGTTAATTCATAGTTTCTCCATATATTAAATTATATGCGACCAATTAGAATTTAGGAATTTGCATTTTCTCAGCCTGAAAAATAGCTTCATATTTGAATATGAGAATAAACCCAACGGGATTTTTGACAAATTTACAACATAGTGGGTAGAATATAAGTTTTTGTCTTTTTTATTGTGTTTGTAATGTTCAAAGCAGTGGAGATTAAACTTGTCTGAACATTCTTCTGATGCCAACCTCCTGTCTCCACCACTCAAGACAAAAGCATCAGACCTGGGGCGACAGAGCATTCTCCATCAACCCTCAAAATCCACCTCTTCAGAACTGCTTTTAATGTGTGATTATTTGTTGTGTGTTGTATATTTGTTGTGTTGTTTCAATTACCTTTTCAACATATTTTAACTTATGTTAAGTGTGTTTGAGTATGATGAATGGTGCTTTATAAATACAATGTATTGTTGTTGTTGTTGTCATTTGTCCATCATGTTGTAAATGTGTCAAAAATACCTTTATGTTTATTCAGTGGTACTGTTGGGTCTCTGTAAATGTTAAAAGGAGTTCGGTCTAGACCTGCTCTATTTGAAGAGTGTCCTGAATAACTTCTGTTATGAATTGGCGCTATACAAATAAAATTGAATTGAATTATTCTCCATAGAAATATAAAAGCTATTTTTTTTTATCAGAGAGTAACTGGAATCCTGCTTAATTGGTCACATATAATTAACTGATTATCTGTTACATGTGAACTAATCACAAAAAATCCTAGTGACTTCATTGTTCGTGCAAGAGGAATTCATGATACATCCTGCATTAATTCATCCATCAAACCATGAGTCATGCATTAGTTTAGTGTTACTTAAGTATTTGTACCCTTATTATAAAGTGTTGCCAGTAAACTTTACAGCTTTAATTCAATTTAATGTTTCTTTTCCACATAAACTGATGCAGCAGATGGAGATACCAGCCATTTTCTTAAATTAAATAGATTACAATATTGTTGATAGGTGCAGTAGGTTAACCTAAACTAAGCTAAGCTACATTTTGGGAAACTTGTCAAGAGTTGTATGAGCAAGTCAATACGTCTCTAATGTCTGTATGCTAAAGCTACAAACAGCAGCTGGTTAGCTTAGCTTAGCATTAACACTGTGAGGCCTTTCTATTTATTATTATTTTTAACAATCATACTTGTTTTCTCGTCCCTGACACTTGGCTTTTGTTCTATTAGAACATTAATTATTTAACGTTAATATTTTGCCTTAAAATCAAGAAGGCCCCACAACCCCCCGTTAACAACTGGTACAACATACGGGACTGCTCACATGTAATGCTGCCATGAAAAGTTCAAAGTATTTTTAACCATGGTTTATGTTCTCTGTTCTTGGTTAAGCATTTTAAATTTAAGGCAAAGCGTGTATGAAGTAAAGTTTTCCTGCAGGAGAAAAAAAATCTAAAATCTAACCAACCAGTTGCATATATGTAAGTCTGTACTGTACTGCAATTAAAGGTCGTGCAGACTAGCTCATGCACTTGGACATGGTGTGATGCTGAGGACTAAGCAACAGGCGGGACGTTCAGAGCCACCTGTCCTTACTGCTAGAGATACTCCTGAGAGGAAAGCAGATGTACTTCTCTACCCGAGAAAGGATGAGGAAAGACAGGAACAGAGAAAGAATG